TAAAATATGTCATATTTCCCCTGTTAAACTATGAGGAAATATATTATTTACAGTATATGCAACAAGGAACTAAACCATAGTAATCCTTGAAAAGGATCACATAATAATGCTGACTATCCTTTCTTGTGATTATTACAATTGGTGAACAGTACTTAAGGCCTCATTGTTCTCTTTTTGTGCTTTTAATTTCATATCAAAATACATAATTATTACTACTTTACTGTACATTCACATAATGAAAAAAAAAACACCCAGGAATATATGCAGTCAGCAGTATTTCACAACCTCGTGTACTAGGATGTCATCATACACACTAGCATATTATACTACTATTAGTATTATAGCAGAGCCCTAGGCCAATCTGTGCGATTTAAAAATATTTTGACAACATTTTAGATTCTAACCAAATCTACAGTGTTGAGGCCAACAGTTTCAAACTCTATTGACATCCAGTGCAGAAAGTGTTGTCCTTACGTTTCCAGGCTAGTTGTGGCGCCAGAGGGGAAGACGACAAATAAAAAAAATATTTACATGTAATGATCGTTTAGCCACCACATTGTTTTCATTAAACTATTTGTGTTATTATTATTATTATTATTATTATTATTATTATTATTATTATTATTATTATTATTATTATTATTGTTATAATAATAATAATAATAAAAATAGTTCAATGAGATTATTAAAAATAATTTGCGTTCTGTTATGACAAATTCTCTTTTGGATAGCCTCGTGATGCTTGAAATACATCGTGATTGGTGAAGTACCTTGACCATGACAGCGTGGTTGACAGATTTCATGCAAAATTTCCAAAATATAGAATTTCACTTTCAAGAATGAGGATTTGAAAATATATTAATAGATGGTTACATTGCATACTCTTTGTTTCTTGCTTTATTCAAAATGTTTTGGTTTTGAAAGCTGATTTCAACATTAGAAAGCATAGCCTACATGAAGTCATATTATAGTAACTCGATGCTTATCAAATAAGTAATAAAAATTCGCCATAATTCATCAAATATCCGTGGCTCCCTGGACCCCAGCCATATATGCAGTTGCGGCAGAAATTATAGAGGGTGCTATTTTAGGTCAGTTAGGAGAACTGATATGCATGAATATGCATAGAGACTTCCCTTCGCGAAACAGAGGCAGTGTTGCATCGACTTTTATGCGTGGATGGACGCTATGAGAGTCACTAGGCCAAAATTTCGTAAATAAGCCTTGGTAGTCAAGACAGTTTGAAAATTGTAGTACTACATTAGACACATTCTATGTACGCCTACAGCTGGTCTTGGAAAGTATTAAAAAAAAAAAAAACGGAATAGGCTGATATTGAATCTGGCTAGTAGGCCTACAGTTAGGCTTATACAGTGTGACGTGTGTGTTGTACAAATTGTATAGTAGTACTGAATCTGAAGGACGTTTAGAAATGCTCGGAAACAAATTACTAGTATTTCGGACACAGTTAACTTACAATTTTACCAGCAGCACAGACCTATGTGTAGAATATTAGCCCGGGTTCTAGATAGTGTAGCACAACGTTTAATGTTGATGTAACAGCGATTGCAAGATTGCATTAAAGTTCAAATTAGAATGAGTTAGGCCTACGCTTCATCTACGTTTTTTGGGGTAGTACTAAAGTGCGAGGCAGCGAGGCATGCGAGGCAGCGAGGCAAAACGACGATTCATGTGAGGCATCGTTTTACCATTCCCAAAAGTGCGAGGCATAACAACGATTCATGCGAGGCATCGTTTTACATCGAAATATGTGCAGAGAACAACGAAAATCCAATGTAAAAGTAATATTACGTACTATTTAATAATTATGCGTGATAGTCATTGTCAAATTTGCTACTTAATTTGATTTGCAACCACAGTGATTTATTTTTCTCCGCCTAGGCTTAGGCTATATAGTCAAATCAAATTAAGTAGCAATTTGACAATGACTATCACGCATATTTATTAAATAGTACGTAATATTACTTTTACATTGGATTTTCGTTGTTCTCTGCACATATTTCGATGTAAAACGATGCCTCGCATAAATCGTTGTTATACCTCGCACTTTTGGCAATGGCAAAACGATGCCTCGCATGAATCGTCGTTTTGCCTCGCTGCCTCGCACTTTAGTACTACTGAAGGCTGGCTCTCGTCCTATTCGATATGAGCAATTTTCTTCCCTTGAGGTTTATCCCTTTCTTCAGGTGTAACGTAACTTCAAACCCATTTCATTCCGTAATTTCTGGAGAATCTTCATTTTGAATCCGGTTTAGAAAAAAACACATTAAACTTTTTCTACCGCACTCTGCGACAGATGGGAGCAGCAGCATCTCAATCACGCATTTAATTGACTCCTCCTCCTCATGAATACATCACCTCATGAATATACGGAACATGTTTTGTCTTTTACAAAACGTGTTTTGTAAGCGACAAAACATGTTTTGTGTTTGAGTGAACGACAAAACCGTGTTTGTCTTTTACAGAACGTGTTCTGTAAGAGACAAAACCATATCTGTCCCCTATAAACATGACAAAAAAGGCAGTGTGTCGTGTTTTAGTCATGGTTTTGTCGCTTACAAAACACGTTCTGTAAAAGACAAACATGGTTTTGTCTTTTACAAAACATGTTTTGTATATACAAACATGGTTTTGTATATTACAAAACATGTTTTGTACAGACAAAGATGGTTTTGTATACTGCCGTGATTCGGAAAAACGCATTATATTCATTTTTGAAAATTTTTAGATTTTTGTTCGTCATCTTTTAAAGAATAAGTTGCAATATGACCATGACCAAATTGTGGCCATAATATGAATTTTAGTCTGTAATATTAATGATTATTATTATAACTAAGACCATTCAACAAACAAAATAAAATACATACATATCAATCTTAAAAATGTTTTACTTAGACTTTCCAATTAAGCTAATGCTTGGAATTTAGATATAATACCTATGCTAAATATACATTTAAAATATTTAGCTATATTTAAATGAGTACACTTCCTTATAATTTAAGGAAACAGAAATTTATAAATGGGCCTGAAGAAGTGTGTTTAGAAGTTGGGTAGTTTTTTTTTGTTTATTAAATTGAAAGGCGGGTATTCTTCATAGTTTAAATAAACTGATTATTAATGTTGTAAAAACTTACTAACAGTTTTTGCTTGTTCTTTCTGTAGTGGTTAATGATAGTATTTAATTTAAATATTACATGTACCATACCATATTTTAGGGGAAATACAACATTTACTAAATCAGATCAGACACATTTTGTAAATATTTTGTGAGAGTGAATGCAATAATGTTGCTAATTAATATAAACAAAAACCCTTGAGAAACTTTCTATTTTGTTTTGTTTTAAGTTATTTAAACATAATGGAATTTAAACCTCTGAAGTCATGGTAAAAGTTCACTTTAAATTGTTATTTTTCATTAGTCCTTAAGTAAAGAATAATGCATGCATTCTGCTGGCAAAACTGGATATAATGCCTAACGTCAGATTTTTCATGCATCACTGGCTTTTGTTTTAATTTGGAAAAGCGCATTATGTCCATTTTGACTGGGTTGTAGAAAAAATATATAAAAAAAGTACTTCAGTATGTTTTTTTGTTGTATAGTTGGTACATTTACATTAAAAATTAAATATAATTTATTTCCATAAAAGGCTAACAAGAAACGCGTTTTGCTCAATATCTTAAAACTATGATTTTGTTTTTTACAAAACATGTTTTGTAAAAGACAAAACATGTTTTGTACAGACAAACATGGTTTTATCTTTACAAAACATGTTTTGTCTGTAGACAAAACATGTTTTGTACAGACAAATATGGTTTTGTCTTTACAATCTCTCAATATCTTAAAACTATGATTTTGGCTTATAATGCGTTCTTCCGAATCACGGTAGTACAGGCAAACATGGTTTTGTCTTTACAAAACACGTTTTGTACAGACAAAAATGATTTTGTCTATTACAAAACATGTTTTGTACAGACAAACATGGTTTCATCTTTTACAAAATATGTTTTGTAAAGACAGAATAACTTTCGTATATTACAAAACATGATTTGTCCCTACAAACATGGTTTTGTACGACAGAACAAGTAGTGTGTCGTTTGGCGCCCCGTACTCAACCAAACTTGGTCTAGGAAACAGGCTGGTGAAAATAGGCCTGGCATGGTATAGTACATCCTAATGCCTGCGTAATAATAATACTTGTTGTCAAATGCTGATCATTATCCTCGGCAGTAACTACAAACATCCTATGATTTGATTTTGGATTTAAAATAACTGTAAAATAATACTCTTGCAACGAATGGGGAATTCGTTTTTTTTTTTTTTGTTTGTTCATGCTGCGATAGCATTTGCCATGAATAATATTCTTGACTTAGGCCTAAAAGTACCCCTGCCGTCGACTACTCACTGGAGCATATGCACGTTGTGAAGGTAGCGTACATTTCCTTGAAAAACTTCCACGCTTTATTCCCACTATCCATTAGAGTCTTACCATACCAAACTAATAAGTATTTGAAAATTTAATCTTGGAACACTTTAAATGGTTTACCAAATTATAACTCGCATTGATCCAACCAACATTTGCAACATATATGATGTGACTTACATTACATCAACAACAAGGCGAAGCCATATTCAATGCACTGTCGTCTCGCGATGGAAACAAACCCTAATACCAAATAGAAGTCACATGACACGAGCCACCGATTCGGTCTATTCGCATCAAAAAGTTTCTCGACATAAACTGATCGCTTGTGGCGCTCTCCGAAATTTACTAATATTACGAAAAATCAATGAATTAGAGACTTGTGGACTCTAGGTTTGTGAAAATTATTTTCTATCTCGGGAGAATAGAATTTTTACAACTTCTTACATTTCGTTTGCGTGTAAATTTGGTATAATAGTACCCAAGTTTAAATTAATGCATAAATACATGAAGTACATATTAACATCATTTATTTAAATCCATTATTTTTTTCACTAGAATATTTCACCAAGATTTAACTTTTCAAAAGCCAACAGCTTCGATAGTGTAACCAAGGGAGGATCTGCTGCATTTAACATGGATATCTACATCCCGTTTAAGGCCATCAACACATACAGTATATCATTTACAGGTGTACCTGGCACAGCAACCATTTGCGAAGCACGGGTTATCTCGTCTGGTTGGAATATACCATGTGTAAACGGCAGTTTTTTCACAACAATATACAATACGTCAGTTCTTGGTGGGAATAATGATATCGCGTCTATTGATGCTGGCGTCATTACAAATATGGAATGGAACAGCAATTTAGAATTGGAAACAATTGAAAATATGGTAGGTTAATTTGTTTTTGCTTTTTTTTTTGGCATATTATGTCATTAATTTTGATGATCATAATACCAACTACAATAAGGTTAATGCAACTGATACGCGCAAAATATATTTTACACGGAGCAACGCTGCTTACAAGGACAATCACTGTAGGCCTACATTAACGTTTGATAGAATAACTTGATTTGCACTTTAACTTACAAGTTTCTTGAATATGACAGGATAATGATAATACGTTGGTATTATGCAAGTTAGGATAGTGCACCGTCTTTATGAGATGTTTAAGCCGTTGGTCCCGTGTGCATTATGGCCCATGTGCACGTTAAAGGACGCAGTGCACTGCAGTATTCGGAAAAGAGTAAGGGATTGTCTCGCGTGTAGTTGTGTTAAATTTATAGCTACTTTTAGATATCTTCACAAAGGAAATATATGTAAAAATCTGGAGATAAGACATTTCCTCAAAATAAACCTATCTGTCCCTAACTTTTACTTTCTAATTTAAGTAAACTCATGCAAAAGCTATTAACATTCCAAAGTTGGTCTCTTAGGAGAGAAAAAAAATACTCTCCTGAAAAGTTTGCATCTAGGCCTATTGAATTTTGTTTTGGTCTTGCTGGGTCAATCATCTGCCTCACTTTCATCAGCAATCAGTTGCTCATATTACTTAATATTTTAACTTGATGGTTATTTTTCTGTATTAGCAATGTTATCTCAAGTCAATTAGCCCAGCGGTAAGGCGGGTGCAGGCCCGCATTGTTAACTAAAACATTCATCATTCGACATATTCATGATTCAACCAATTTATCATTTGGCCCTAGTTCGTTAGACTAATTTATATTCGGAGCAAATAATTATAACGTGCGGAATTTTTAAGACTGTGCGGGTCAGCCTAGGCTTAAGTCTGTAAGAATGTGGCTCAACTGTTCAACAAATTAAAATGAAACACAAAATGGATTTATCGTAATCTTGAATAAGCGCCGCTCTCGAATGAGCGCTGCACCAAACGTGCAAGCAAGCAAACTCTCCCAGCTTTTTTTTTAACAAACGCCAGATCATAATTAAATACCTCCTAACTTGGAAGACTTATTGCCGTTAGCAAAGGATAGATGAAGATATCTTTACTTAATGGACAATAATGATGCTTCTGTTGGTTCACTGTTGAGGCTTAAAATAGCAAATGATGATCGAAAAACAGGGGGTCGCCTTATACGTGCGACATAAAAATTTAGATTTATTAAATCATGTTCGTCTTGTGGGCGGATAGTCCGAACACATGACTTTGCTACTGCAATGAAAGCTGCTAAATGTGACGGTAAATTTTAATTAACGCAAAATTGTTGATGTTTAAAAACTCAAATGCTACGTCTTATGGAGGGAGACTAGCCTTGCATTTAGCTCTGTTTATAGGCAGCTAGATGCAGTATCAGGACCATAAAAAGCAGAAAAATTAGGAATTCCGACGATGAAGCAGGGGGTTGTATACGCCCGACATACAAAAAATCGTTCAAACATCTTCTCAAATTCGGGGGTCGTCTTATACGCTGGTCATCTTGAGGTCAAGACGCTGGTCATCTTGAGGTATTAAGGGAATTTACGGCCACAAACCTTGTAGTTATTAATATTTTGGTTATAATAGAACATTTTTATTTTTTGGTGACGTCACACTCACGCTATACTTAGCATGCATACGTCATAAGCTAGATTACGTCACCTTTTCCTGGTAAGGCAAACTTTCCCGGCGTGCTTTTTTCATGGATAAACAAACACATGAATGCCTTGCCTAGCTAGGGTTACAAGAGCCGCATAGTTAGCATATAATACTTAAACAAGGTACGTCTGCAACTTAATTATTCTTAGGCCCTAGTTAATTTTTTTTTCTTATTTTAATTTATTTCTTTCGAAAGTGTACTTTCTATCCCATATAATTGCACTGTCTACTTAGACGTTTGCTAGGCAACAGAACGTGATTGCACCTTTCTTCCCAGGTGTTCGTGTAAATTTGCATATTGTTAGCTAACCAGCTGAGTGTATTCCTTTATGAAAATGAGTACCGCGGCGTACTCATTTTCACAAAGCATTTGCATCCCTTCTTGGAAAGAGGGAATTTTGAAATAATTGTCCATATCTTCGCTAATTAATCACCGTAATTTAGCTTACACTTATGCATGGAGGGAGCACTTAAAATGTACAATAATCATTTCACTACCCGACAAACCCCGAACTTTATTCATGCATTACATAAATAGTTTCATCTTGCTGTACTCCAACATCACTGGCGAATGGTAACAACCAATAGACCGTGGGTTGAGGCTCCAAAATCGGCTTAGTTTACGAATTCTGTGACCCACCGATCCGCGCTACTTGGCATTCGCACAAAAATGTTAATACTATTTTATTGAAACATAATATAATTGTCGGCAATCGTAAATTTGGGGAAACTGTAACCAAAAACGAGAATTTATCTACGAAAAAATAATTTTCGTTCACGAAAGCAGTACCCAATCACAGCACACTTACCATACCTGTTAAGCATTGATGAGACGCTATTAGCCAATCACAAACGTTCTTGTAAACTCGGTAACTAATGTAAACAATGTCGCGAGGAAAGTGACAATGTGTAGCAATTTGGACGAAAGTTCTCCGGTTTTAGTGGAATATTTCAATATGATATAAGTATACCAGCCTTTAAATAAAATACATTGGTAATAGTTGTAAGATTTTAGAGGTAGTAAATTGCATTTCCCGTCTTCTGTCGACTGTCATACCGTAGTTTTGTAAGCCAAAGTCGACCGTGCTGTACTGAATGTGTATTGTATTACCGTATCTAGGCCTAGGCCTACATATGCATAGTAGGAAGGGCAAGAAGTAATGTTCATCGACTTTGAATGAGACAGGAAATTCCTGTAAATATATAATATATTTTGATTCTATTTGGAATCGCTTTTTTTTTTGTTTTTTTTTTGTTTTTGTTTTTTTTTTGTTTTCTATATGTACATTTTAAAAGAAAACTGAGGCTGAATTACTTCAAAAAATAAGAACACATTGAGGCTGATGTAAAATTTCAAATGTTTTTATTTGCATGCAATGTAAATAATAAACTTTATTCAGTATTTCTTGCCATGCCTGTTGATTTTTGTTTAACTGCTTGAAGACCTTGATAATATGGACTGAATTAATGAATAAAAGTAAAGCAATTGATGATTCCAATAAGGTGAAACAAATAAATATTTAATATACCTCAGTTTAGCCAGTTGCATCCCATCAGCACTTTCATTATCTCTCTGATCACTCACTGGGTATATACATTTAACTACACAACAGTAAACACAAGGTTGAAAGAAGTTTATGACAAAAATCTGAACTTTTATATGAATATTATTGAAACACAGACTGTCTCTTATACACATCTAGATGTGTATAAGACCATGGTAGAACACAAACTAATACATATTTTGAGTTCTAATGTCTGAATCGACATTTTTGCATCATTAGTTTGTTAAATTATACGTTTTAGAGAAATATATGCGAGATATCAGAAGAAAATATACGATTTTTGAAATATTATTGCTTTTGAAATATTATTGTATGCTAATTTGTAAAATAATTAATTTGATAATTTTGGTTTACATTTTACACATTCAATAAATACTAAAGGAGAGGTATTTATGTATAATTTCATATATAAGAGGAAATGTGTTACAGCACAAATTTATCAAAATAGTTGAATGGAAGCAGAACAATTACAGACGGTAATATAATTATAAGAGTTTGTTGAAAATAAAGTTGTTTTTTTTTTTTAACTTTTGCGATTATCTTGGTGGTACTGTTACAGTTACAAGGCCAGAGCGACGGAAACATGAAACATGGCGAAATGGGGAAACATGATCAGTTGCTACAGATCTATTCCAAACGTTCTTGGAAGAACGTGTGGTCGAACCCCCTACTAAGCGAACTGCGTTCACTGACAAAGCAATACTATATGTGAAAATTTCAGTTTTTTCTAAAGAATTGAGCTGAAATGAGTTTGAGTCTACCGTAAAACCTCGAATAGAAGCCCAGTGGGCTTAATCTCGAGAAGAAGACCATCTGGAATTGAAGCCTCTCCTTAGTTTGCAAAAAGTAGCCTCGAAAAAAGCCCATGGGCTTCTTTTCGAGATAGTACAGTACATACACTGTACATGAATTTCAAAGAAACAAAATAAATTAAAGACAAGCTTAGTTTATACTGTAATTTAGGGGATTTAATGCCGGTTAATACACTCCATGATACAGATTGATGTTACAGTGGACCTATTGTTTTGTAGTAGTAAATCCCCGACATTTACAGCATTCATTTTGAAAAGAAGCGGCCTCAAAAAGAAGACCATCCGAAGCTCAATTTGAGGTTTTACAGTACTGTATATGGATAACAATTCGACTTAAATGTTTGCCCTGGTGTGTAGAAAAAAAAATATATATCGATCGGGTTAGTGTACCACCCTAAAGATGGCTTCGACCTTCAAATAGAGTGCTTAGACTGTAACAGTACACGGTAGTGATGGCGACACAATCTCAAAATCGGAATGTGCACCTTACTCCTCCCCTTCGCGTTCGCGCCTGTTTATAAATTCAATACTCGCTTGGCCATGGATGAAATTGGATGCCACCGTAGGACTAGAATAAAGAACATAGGCGGAATAAAGGGGATGGGGAAGCCCCCTAAATTGTTAAACATTTTTAAAAATTGTTGAAAAGAAAATTACATTCTTCATATTATTCGCATGAAATGATGGGAGAGGTACTTGGCAATTGATTTAGGTTTTCGGTCTTTGTTTTTGTAGACACCCATATTGGGTGTCTATAAAACGAAGACCCTTGATAACGTCACAATTAGACGTCCAAATAATCTCGTAAATTTGATTTGTGCGAGTCTGATATAATTTCATTACAATAAATTGAACAAGTGCGGGTCTTCGGGTTTTCGGTCTACGTTTTGTAGACACCCTATAGAGTGCCTAAGACCG